TTTTCATATATTTATATATTTTATATATATTATATATATGTATATATGAAAAATATATCAAAAATGCATGTGGGTACTCAAATGAAAGCTCTTGATGAGTGTAATATCGGGATGAGCTTATATCTTTAAAAACGGCATTATTTAAGAAAGTACAGTACAATTTAACAAAATTCATTATTTAACAACCAAAAAATTTTAATTATTTATAGTTCACAAGTCACGGAAGTCACATAGTGACTGCAAGGTTGCGAGTTACAATTATAAAAATTTACCGTAAGATAAGTAAGATTGCTGGAAATACTTTGACCAGCTTCTTGTCTATGTAAAGCTATTTGAGCAGCTTTAGCAGGATCTCCACCAGCGATAGCAAGACAATGTCGAATTTCAGCACGGCTTGCTGCTGGAAACATTTCTTGGAGCAGTGTTACTTGGTGCCATGAAGTTTCATGTTGCTGAAACAATTATGATTTTATTAATTATTTATTGATTGAACGAGTTTCATTAGATTGATTTTTTTTCACAAATTTTTTATGTGAAATATACTATTAAATATTTAAGCTCAACTTGGAGCAATTGCGGCATATACCATCAATTTTTCTCGAGCTTTAATATTTTATTGTATATTTAACATACAAAATTCAACAGTGAAATATTTCATTGAGGTCACAAATTTTCTGCCCCAAATACTAACAATTCATATTTCAAAAATACGTATGAATGAAGTCTACTAAAAATAATTCTTGATTTAAAAAAATTCGTGAACTTTGTTGATGTTCAATAGAGTTATTAAATAAATTTTAATTAAAATTTCTAACGTTTGAAGTAGTTATAAAACAAATAATTTGTTAAATACATTCTATATTTATACACTGTTTAAAAATAGTGTATTTACCGATTCATATATATAATATCAATATTAAGCGGAAAACTAGGCCAAGCTAAACATGAAACTTGAAAAAATTATACAGTTGTACAAAAAATTTTCTGTTCAACTGAACAGTAACAAAAAGTAACAACATTGATAATTATTTTTACTTCAGTAAAATATTCGCCACTAGAATCACTTCCGGCGTCGCTTGTCTCTGATAAATGATGTACTCTGATACTCTGGGACTCTGGTGGCAATAAAGCAGTGAGGCTTAGCTGGCTGAATAATTCATGAGGCTGAATATTATCAGCTTCTTCCTCTTTGTTTTCTTCCCGAAGTTTACTTTCGATGTCCAGTAGCCATTTAGTGACAGCTTCCTTTTCAATCGTTGAAAATTCGGGCAGGCAAGCTGACACCATTTCGCACAATCCTTCCACATCTAGGTCCTCTTCTAGAGCACTTTCTTCCACCATGCTCACCACATAGCTCAGTACAATGTCATCTATCAAGCTGCATAAACAATTTCAATTATTATTATTATTATTATTATTATTATTATTATTATTATTATTATTGCTCTAATCAGGTCTAAATTCTTCTGTAATTAATTTAAATCAGGATGTTGTAGACCAAGATGATTTTATGTTTTTTATTTCATTTATTTTTAACATGTTTCATCCTGATTTAAATTTATTATTATTATTATTATTATTAATGACATTAAAGTTAGCAGTCACTAGAGAATTTTTTAATTTTTTTAACAAATTTGTTAAAAAAAATTACTTTTAAAAAATTGCATTTTTTGTATTTTAAAATTTCTACATGTCAATTTTTTTTGCCATTATTTATTTAAAAAAAAAATTCTAAAATTTATTAATTATCTGCTAAATTTATTTTCATTTATTAATGATATTAAAGTTAGCAGTCACTAGAGAATTTTTTTAACAAACAAATTTGTTCATGAAAATTAATTTAGCAGATATTTTATAATTTTAAGAATTTTTTCAACAAATAAATTATGTCAAAGAAAATGAGAAAAAAAATTGACATTTAGAAAACTAAAAAATGCAATTTTTTAGAAATAATTTTTTGGAGCCAATTTATTTATTAAAAAAAATTAAAAAATGGTCAAGCGACTGTTAACTTTAATGTCATAATTTATTCAAAAAAATTATTTTTAAAAAATTGCATTTTTTGTTTTTTAAAATTTCTACAGGTCAATTTTTTTTCTCATTTTTTATTTAAAAAAAAAATTCTAAAATTTATTAACTATCTGCTAAATTTATTATTATTATTATTTGGATAACAATAAAAATGTCAATGACAGCTTACCTTAGTTGTGCAGTAGGTACTTGTTTCCTAACGAAATTAAATAATGATTTTTTAACCAATTCTTCTTTTTCATTCATCCTTTCCCCTGAAACACCATTAAAATATTATTATCTTCCTATCACTTGAGGTTAAAACTAAAAAACACTCTATGTATTATTATTATTATTATGATACACAAATAATCAATAGCACAATTATTTCACAATTATCCCAATGGTAAAACACTTTGGAGTATTGATGAATTTTACAAGCTCATGTCATTTCTTCTTCAAGTAAAATTTATTTTTGTCAACAAATAAATAACAAATAATTTAAAAAACTAATGGAAAAATAAATAATGATTTGTGGAAGAGCAAAAATTAGTGATGGAGTTTTAGAAGCGCCGGTGGTGTACATTATTAAATTTACTTTGTTGAATTTTTATAACTAAAACAAAACCTCTGTATTTTTGAAAAAACAAGAATTACGCAAGGTAAATATTGTGGTAATTATTATTGAATTATTAAAATGGCAAACCTCAATTAATGATTTGATTTATTTTCGTTTACAAACAAGCCTACAGATTATAATTTGACAGTTCAATCTGGGAAAGGGTGGTGAGTATATCTATTGAAAACTACGCAAGTGACATCTGGTAGCTCGACCTGACATGTACAGTACATCTGTATATATTGACCTGTGCCTGCCTACTGTCTATACCTCGTACCCGCAAACCTCATCCTTTATCCTTATTTATCTTTTGTTTATATTTTTTTTTATACAAATATCGCTTACACTCATGCTTCCTGATTATTACACAAGATATATGGAAATATATAAATTTATGTCGGTCAACTTATGTTTTTTTATATCTAAAAGTGTAAGGTTATACTTATTTATTTTTTTTTACATCTGACAACTTTAATTTTTTTTTTTTTTTGAAAAATGATAAAAAAAATTATTCGAAAATTTTTTAACTCACACAAATATAAAATTGTCAGATATTCATATTTTTTTTTTAATATAATTTTTTTTTTTCCAGAAATTATCAAAAAATGGAGCAATAAAAATAAAAAATTTTCGGGTACAAATTTTATAGGTAATAAATTATTTTTAAATAAAATTATGTAGATATATTAGCAGATATTAATTATTTTAATGTGAAAAATAAAAAAAAATTATGAAAATTAAGATAATCGAGATTTAAAAACTTTTAGAATTTTTTTTATTAAAAAAATTACAAAAAAATAAAAAAAAATTTTCATTTGTAAAAAACTTGAAAAACTATAAGTGCAATTTTTAAAAAATATTTTTTAGTTCTTATTTAATAAATGACAAAAAATTAAAAACGTCGGCTAACTTTAGTTTTATAAAAAATTTTAATGTGTAAAAAACTATTCGTGCAATTTAAAAAAAAAAACTATTTTTTAATTCTAATTTAATTATTCAAAAATAAAAAAATTAAAAACGTCGGCTAAGCTTTAGTATTATAAAAAATTATGACACTGAAATTGAAAGACATTTAATAATTTTTAAAAATGTTTTAACAAACTAATTTATCAGAAAAAAAATTATTCAAAAAAATATCACATTTCAGAGCTTTTAAAAATTATAAATCAAATTTTTTTGTTTATTTTTCAAGAAAAATAAAAAAATCAAGTGTCTGCTAATTTCTGTCATAAAAAATTCTGTTTATTTATCTTTTTGAATTACTAATAAGAAAAAAGTTATCTGGTTACTATTCTAAGATTTATTTTATTAATAGCATAATAAAACTTATTCAATGATATGTTAATGAATATTTACAGAACTAAACTAGTCAATAAACAGCAAGGAAGATAAAAATAGTTATAAAAAGGACAGATAATAATGACTGTTGGTGGAAAGATACTGATAACATCAAAGCGTACTTTCTTAGCTGATGATTCAACAGCAGACTTACTTCCATTGAGAAAACCAATCAAAGGATGTTACTGCGTTTACAATAATAATAAAAATTCAAAAAATAAACTAAGATCACAACCAAGTTGGACTACTGCAAGCGACACAGATTTTTGGCCATGCACTTATTGCAAGAGCAATTTTGATATTAAACTCACTGATTTGTCAACTGAAAATCAATTACCCGGAGCTCCGACATTTAGCAGCGATACGTTTAGAAAAATAAGCAAGATAAATTACACTCCAACGTCGGAATTTCTTGGAAATGTCAAAAGACAAACATCTAGACAAAATTCTCAAGTGTCTGTATTGACTGTCGAGTCTCAATCTTCAATACAAGAATTATCAAAGAAATCATCTATGGCAGATAGTCAATTAATTGAGTCCCGAAAATTGGGATCTGAATTAAAATTAGCTAAAAGTTACGAGTCTATTGTTTCAGAAAAAAATATTACACCGGAAATTCAGACTATTTTTACCTCAACAGCGTCTTATAAAAATTCATCTAGTTCTTTGACTGACAATAAATTAAAAAAATCAATAAGTTTGTCATCAGATTTAAATAGTCGAGAAAAAGAAAAATTTGTAAAAAATTTACCGCGAATTGTTGTACAAAATAATTGCCGTTGTAAGAATTGTTTGACAAAAGATGTAAAGGCTAGAAATCTAACGAGTCGCAAGCAAGTATGCGCTAAATGCGGAGGTAAACGATTATCATTACTGTCAAGTGATAAAATTGATTCGGAAACTGATAAGGAAACACGAGAACTCGGAGATTTTCGTGACAAGAATTATTTCGACACACATGGCTCGAGTCGTACGCTTTTAACAACTCCATTAACTCCACCAGAAATGCTCAGGCAGCATCAACTTAACGACAGACTGTTTCCCGAGCTAGTTGATGAAGATAATAATTTGGTGGTGTCTATTCCACTGTTAAGTGATGATCAGCTTAAAAAAATAATTCATTACTTTCCGCGAGATATTGTAACTCAGTATTGTAAAAATAACGCTGACACGGATAAGAAGAAAAAAAATATCCAGCGAAAGTGTCCGCTCACTGGTCATATCATTAATTTGTATAAGTTCAATCATATTAAGAAACCTCAGCCGTATATTATTAGTAATAATAATATTAATATTAATAGTCTTGCATTAAATTTTCAGAAAAAAATAACTTGATAATTATGGTATAAATTATAATGTAATGAGAATATTATTGATAAACGCTTTTAAGTTGTTTTATGAAGAATTCCAGTTAATGATTTTATTTAAAGCATTTATATAAATATATGTGATGTGTGGTGCAATAATCGTGTACTTGACATTGGAGAAAATGTATATGTAATAAAATTTTATAAGACTCGTTTGACCATGTAACACTTGTTTTGATCTGATATGTAACATTTGTAAGATATTGGCCTCATTTAAGGTTTATCGTAATTTATAGTTCATATTTGTGTTATTATTGTTATTATTATTTTTTGTTTTGTAAATTATATCAGGCATAAGATATTTTATTAATTAGAAATAATTAATTTTTTTTATAAAAAAAAATAATATTTTAAAAATCTATTTTTAAAACATCAAAGAAGAAATCAGGTTATAAAAATTAGAAAATTATTTTTTGTTTTGTAAATTATATCAGGCATAAAATATTTTATTAATTAAAATTAATTAATATTTTTTAAAACAAAATATTTTGAAAATTTATTTTTAAAAAACCAAAGAAGAAATCAGGTTATAAAAGTTAGAAAGTTATTATTATTTTATTTGGTAAATTATATCAGACATAAGATACTTTATTAATTACAATTAGATACTTTATTAATCACAATTAATTAAAAAAAATTAATTTTTTTTAAACAAAATATTTTGAAAATCTATTTTTAAAAAAACGAAAGAAGAAATCGGGTTATAAAAGTTAGAAAGTTATTATTATTTTTTGCTTCGTAAATTATGTCAGACATAAGATATTTTATTAATTAGAAATAATTAATTTTTTTTATAAAAAAAAATAATATTTTCAAAATCTATTTTTAAAAAAGCAAAGAAGAAATCAGGTTAGAAAATTAAATTTAAAAAAAGGCAGCATGACCTTCTTTAAAACAAACCCTATATTTATACATATACAAGGCTTATTTTTATTCGAGGTCATTTATGTATTTAATTATAAACGCTTATTAGAATTTTATTACACAAAAATTGCAAATAATTTTTTGCTTTACGATGCAAAAATAAAAAGTTTTTATACATTCTAAATATTGTATAATTATTATTTATAATATATTAAAAAATTAAACTTCTCTTTTGCTATAATTTATTGGTAATATATTTTCTTCTCAATAAATAAAAAAAAGTAGTTACAATTGAACATTACAAGTGTATTTGATGAAACAATTTTATAATAACCAAAGTGTGAATATCATTGAAATAATTTTTTTTTAAATTATTTCTCAAACCCTATATTGTTAATCGAATCATAAATTTATAAATCATTGTAAAAATAATTTAATACATAAATATCAACATTAAGCAACATTCCATTTCTTATTTAACTTATAAGTAGCATCTACGCGTATGAGGCAAGAACCCTGGCTATACCAATCTATACCAATTATTCACAAATAAAATTTCAAGAAGATATTCAACACAGTAATATTGAAAATAATTATTTAAAATAATAGATATTGCATCCTAACTGAGAATGACTGATTGACATTAAATTTTAATGAGATCTTGAAGAAACATTTCACTGTGACCGTGATATCTTTGTAAAAGGATAAAAAGGACGTGTTTTTTTATTAAAATTAATATATTTAAAAAAAATAGTAAGTACTTATTAACTTTTTCTTTATTTATAACTTTTAAAATATCACATACCGTAATTTATTCTTGGGCTACAATAATTAATTTTCGTCTTCCACTCTAGGATTACTTTGAGAAAATTGTTCGCTTGCAACAACCACGTAGTGGGGTAATACTTACGCAGTTAAATACGAATGATTGATCAAATGGACACAGTCTTACCGTGTACTTGATCAGAAACTGATCAGTAATAAAACAACCAGTTATTTTTATCATTCAAAATTTTATCTAAGTTCTTCACATTTCTTCTCAGTTATGGAGTTGAGATCGGTATTTATTCTCGCCTTTA